GCACAGTTCCCAGGGCCGCCCAAAAAGGTCCACGGTATGCAGGCCTCTAGTCTGAGGTTGGGACCCCAGGGCCCATTTGGAAGGCCCAAGCACGCCACACCATGGCTGTACACCACAGAGACCAAGATTTCCATGTTAAAGAAGGAAAGCACAACGAAAAATATCAGGGGCTCCCCATGCATGTGAAACGGTTTTCACCTTTGCAGAGGCAGATGCAGATCCCAGGATTCTATCCCCAGACCTTACCTTACCCATGTACAGTATCGAGTTGATCCCTAAGTGTTTGAACCCGTGACCTGTGTTTCGTTAGTTGTTGTTTGTCTGTCATAGGACTGTGTAGATGTAGGGATTCGAGCTGTAGGTCTATCGAGTAGGGGTCACAGCTCTGTAGAGGTCGTAGCTATAGGTATTCTGAAGGGTCAGGTCGTAGCTGCTACAGTCCTGAAAGGTCAAGGTCGTAGCTGCTATAGTACCCGAAAGGCCAAGTCCACAGACTTCCGGAAGTTCCGGAAGTGGCCTTTCGAAGTTGTCTCACGTTTTGGTCAGAGGCAAGTGGGCAAGTGGTGAGCCCAACTGCGTTACGTCGGCAGTGCGACTGCATTGAGTTGGCAGTGCAAACCCATGCAGTCAGCGGTACTGGTCCAGTCAGTCCCAGTCCAGTCCATCGAGTACCATGAGGGACTATGAGCACCATGGGCCGATGGAAAGAGGCAGACCAACGAGTTACAGAAGTATAAATCAAGAGGCAGCGCCCAGCCATTCATTCATTCCTGCGGAAGCCATGCGGAAGTGCTGCCACAGTGACTTGTGCGAGGTTGTCTGCAGATGCGCCTGAAGTCGAAGTGGGCAGAAGGAGAGTTAGCGCAGCCATAGCTGCTTGTAGTTAGTGTTAGTTGGCGGCCATAGCTGCCGTAGCTAGTGATAGGTGTGTACGTGTGTGTGTTACAGGGTGTGTGCATGGGGTATCCAGGGTGATCCAGAGTTGAAGTGTGAGCGAACAGTGGTGTTGGACACAGTGACGAGAGTTGGGATGTATAGGTGCTGATGTACCATAGTCTGTTGAAGCGAGTTTGCATCCGAACTGCGTTCTTGGTTTCCATGTCTCTGAGCTTTGAGTGGGCGCTATGCGCCAGTGTGAATCACCATCTGTTTGTATCCATGCGAAGTGAAGAAGTGAGCGAGTCTGATTGCACATGTCACCGCGTCAAATGTTTTTCTTTCAATTAGGAAGTGTTCCCACGACACTCAGTCAGTTTGAACCAAAGAAAGGTTAGCACAGCCATTTCCTCTTTTTCCTGTGCCCAAAAGACACCCCAAAGCTCGGGTCATGAATGTATACAAGCTATCTTTCTCGTCTGATACAGTCAGCATGAGGGCATGTTGGGATCAGGGGAAGATGGTACTGCCAACGTTCCTTTCATGTTTGGTTGTCGCAAAAAAGAGTCCACCCATCCACACCAAAATATTGGATCGATCCTTAAAAACTGCAAACAACACAAACCCACGACTTGCCATGAGCCTGAAACATTTGTGAGACACCAGACACTGGTGTCACTCTACACTATCTACAGCCTAAAATACCCTGGGCTTCCCACAATGTGCTCTGAATTATGCAGCCCACAGAAACATCGCCTCCACCACGAACCCTCTCCCCACCTGCCTACCAACATTCCGTAACATTGGACAGTATTACAGATCTGGACATAACATCAATGAAAACAAAAGGGTGTGTGTGTGGGACAAGGAACCAATCATTAACATCTGTGTGTGACAATGACCCGAATCAACGAGTTTGTTACAAGATGACGAATCCATGCCAAACATTGACACAAGGATCACTATTTTCACATTTTCACATGATCATTAAGAGGTCGTGAGGATCAGAACCTGTGTGCATGGGCAATGCAACAATCAGAATGGTCTATGAGGATAACAAACACAGGAACAAGGGTCCAGTACTGAGAATCTGTGCACCATACTGAAACAACAATCAGTACCTGTGTGTGACGACAGTGAACCTGGTAGACACACCCGTTTTAGGACATGGCTAGGTGTTAAGATGGCTTGTATGGACTCAAGAAATACCTCCATCTGCGCGCCTCTGGCATCTGCAATCGCTGCATCTCTCTCTTCCCTCGCCCTGGCAGCCTCTGCCCTGTAAGAAGCAGCATCAGAAACTGCTCCCTTCACTCTGGCATCCAACCGTACTAGCTCACTCCGGTAATGCTTTTGCGCATACATAGCCCGCCACCAGCGACAAATTGCAGTCCACACAAAAGAAGCACACACAAGGACGCCCGTGTGAGTCCTGGACGAGACGTTATAAGAAAAGACGTCTATTAAAGTCGATAGAGCTGAAGCACACATGAAACTGGCACAACCACTCACTCCAAAAGATACAGACAGCCAGATCCAACAGTCACCCCGTCCACAAACATCATCAGCACCTTTGCAAACAGTCAATGAGCACAAACAAAGACATTAGGAGATTGCGGCTGCTGTAGATTGGAGCTTCTGCAATTTGCTCTCCTCTAAAGCAACTCCACAATATACCGGCACACAAGTTTCTCATGTATGCACCATGAAGGAGACCTTTGGTAAAGCTCTAATTCCCAGCGTGTGGAACTGCTCTGACATTGCAGGAAACTTTCCTGCAGTTGCACCAGGGAAGACTCATGGAAGAAACCTGGAAGGGCCATTCTCTCATTTAACACCAAGAATCCTTGTTGAAACAGTAAAGCAATGCACGTAGCTAGACTCATGCAAGGAATGTTCCAAGCCTTTAATAAACGTTGCACTGGGCTACCAGAGCCAGTCAAGCCAGGCAGCTAGAGCCAGGCGACTGGGACCCACCTGCCCAGGTCTCGCAGGCAAGTCAGAAGGTGCGGAATTACTTTTGTATCAAAAGGGCAATGGAACGTCTTTGCACCCACCGACATATCTCGGAATCTGGGATCCTCCTTTTCTTTGGAGATGTTGTTCGATACTCCGACTGTGGTTATGTTAATTGTGGTCACTTTTGTCGGTAGTTCAGTTCATAACTTCATATTCATTCAATTCATATTTGTCTGTGAATTCGTTTTTGCTTCGATTTATGTGCCATTCAATCTCATATTTGTCTCGGATGGAAAGGCGGCTCTCTCTCTCTCTCTCTCTCTCTCTCTCTCTCTCTCTCTCTCTCTCTCTCTCTCTCTCTCTCTCTCTCTCTCTCTCTCTCTCTCTC